GTGGCGAACAAGCGCTTCCTCCGCCACCAGTTCATGATCCGGAGAGGTCAGTGAAGAGGCCACTTGAGGACTCAGGTGGTGCAGGTGCAGGTGGGGAGGTTGCAGGTGAAGAAGGGGATGGAGACATGGAAGTCGAAATTCCTTTGCCAGATGGGAGCTTAGCTCCAGAAGGAGCTGGAGAACCTATGGACCTTGATGTTGTCTTGGATCGAGTCATCCAACATGCCCAGAACGAAGCAATGAATGAGTTCTTGGCAGGTGCCTCTAGGTGTGATGAGGTAGGAGGTGAAGTCGAGGCAGAAGGTCAAGGTTCTTCCATCTCAGTTCAGTTTGGGGGAAACCAAATAGATGTACAGATCGCTGAGGGAGTGTGTGATGAATTGACAGGGCACCCCATAGCGCATGACCAGGTGGTTGAGGGCATTCGCACAGAAATGGTGCAACTGGAGACATTGGAAGTTGGTGACACCTATCCTGAGAAGAAGGGTCGCACCATTGCAGTTGAGCATGAAGCTCAAATCCTCACAGCGAGGTGGGTTTTTACCCAAAAGACTGCTGTCCTTTGTCGTGCCCGGTTGGTCGTTCGCGATTACGCCTCTGGTGCTGAAAGCGCGTTTCGGTCTGGCATCTATGCCCCTACAAGTAGCTTAGACTCACTGCGAGTGGTCCTGGCCTTCTCAGTGGTGGAAAGCATGAGCCTTCTTACAGCTGACGTGTCGACAGCATTCATGTACGCGCCTGTTGAAGCCGACGCTTGTGATCTGGTTTTGCTTCCCCCGAATATCACTGTGAAGGGCCAACGAGTCATCTTGTGGCTGAAGAAGGCCATGAATGGCTTGAGAAGGGCTCCATTGTTGTGGTTCTTAGAGCTTCAGAGGACGATCCGTGACTTGGGCGGAGACGAAACCTTTGAATCAACGTTGTTCAGGGTGAAGACTGACACCCAGTTCTTGTTGGCCCTAGTCTACGTTGACGACTTGCTTATAGCCAGTAATGACGTTGAAGGAGGTGAGAACTTCTTGCGTGCACTTCAGAAGATCTGGAAAATCAAACGCACGGGAAGTATTCCGTCTGGGCAGAGAGGACTCCTGGAATTCTTAGGCCGCACGATATACAGACGCCATGACGGAGAGGAATGTCTGTACTTTGGAGTTTCCGGGAGCTACATGGAAGGCATCTTTGTTTCATGGGAAGAGAAGCTCAAAGAATCCACCGGTTCAGCCATGCCCAAGCTGGAGGAGCTGCTAAAAGACGCAGAGAAAAAGTTCGGGAATCCTGAGCTGTCCGCCACGGAAGCACAGCGCTACCGTAGGGTCCTCGGACAACTTGCGTGGGCAGCACTCTCCAGGGCAGACCTTGCTTTTCCTGTTGGGTTTTTGAGTCGATTTCAGTCGAAGCCCCATGTTCCGGCAGAGATTTGTCTTCGTAGCTTTCTTCGTTGGTTGAAGGGTCATTTGCATTTTGTGCAGCAGATGCCTGCTAGTTCACCACCCGTTTTGACTGAAGAAGGGGTCGTTGTAGGTTTTTGTGATGCTTCATGGAATGTGACCAGCGTTTCTGGTGCCGTCATTTCTTGGCGTGGATGTTGCCTGAAGTGTTTCAGTAGGAGACAAGAGGTTCCTGCGTTGTCGTCTGCAGAAGCAGAAGCGATCGCCATCACGGAGGCTAGCAAAGAATGGCTCTGGGGATGCTGATCGAGACAGCTCGTGAAGGGATTCCTCTCGACGAGATAGGCATGCCAGCCAAGACCACCGGCAGCATGCAGCTTCACCTGTACAACGATGGGGAAGCGGCGATTTCCATATCGACCATGGAAGGTTTGCTCCGACGTGTTAAGCACATGGAACTTCGTGCACACTACGTCAAATACCTCCATCGAAGGCGCCGCTTGACCTTGGAACATTGGGAAGGTGTTTCCAACCCGTCCGACGGTCTCACGAAGAGTTGCAAGCTCATTGAGATGTGGCTGAACCTCTGTAATGCTGTAGGACTTGTACCTAGTTTGGATGAAGATAAGGCAGCATTGTTGAGGGGGTTGTCTCGAGACGCCGATGACGACGAACTTCCGATCGGTGAACGTTCAGTTCGAGAAGGGGAGTATGCTCATCGTGCGTGTTTCTTGCATTTTTCGTCCGTTGGGGATCGGAAGGTGACGAAAGCTTGGCCTGCTGAAGTTTGAACTTTGTCGAATGTGCTTTTTCCGGAACAGTTTTTCGAGATGCACTTTGACTTGGGAGAGTTTCTGAATCTGTTTTGTGTGTTTCCGTTGTTGTTCGTTTGTGTCCGAACTCGTTCGGAGGAGTTTCGTTTTGCTTTGTCTTGTTAGCACGGAGATTTGGAACCTTTGTCATGCCTAGAGAGCCGAGAGTGCTATCCTTTAGGCCTTCCCAGCTAAAAGCTTAAAGCTTCAGTGATTCTTGGACAAGATAAGCCTTTAGGCTGGATAAGCCTTCACGGAGCCAACAGGAGCAGAATCTTGAAGTGAACTGGAACTTAACAAAACATATGCGCTAGCTAGCGTATATGTGGCAGAGAAAACACATATGCTGAAAGATATCGAGCACCGTAGGTCTGTAGTTCTTTTTGTTTTTCAATTTTTGGTCGTTTGATCTGGTGTGTAGCGTGGTTTGTGTGGGTTAAGACAACTTTCATTAGGGACATCCTGTGTGTGTGCGTAAGAAGGTTTTAAGTTTTTTGAAGGCAGACAGCGCGTGCAGATTGAAGGTGTCAAAGAGCTTCGCCGCTTCGCACTTGCAGAGGTTGCCGGCGCCCATGATGGGCATTTGAATCCACGTTTTGAGCGTGGCAGTTCACCCATATGCACATAGAAAGGTTTGGAAGCGTTGGGGTCCACGTCCCCCTCAACTTTTTCATGGAGCCACAGGAGCCCACACAACTCAGCTCAAAACTAAAATTTTCACATGCTTTCATGTCCCTCTTCTCGTTTCGCTCCTTCTTGCATGGCCGGCGCCATGACCATTGATGTGATGCGCCATGTCCAGGTGTGCCCGACATATTTGGGCACCAGAGTTTTATGTTTTGGTCATTTGCAAGCTGAGCAGTCGATCCAATCCAGCGTCGCTTTGTGGCGTGAGTTGTTGTTTGTGGTTTTCACTTGTGGTGCAACGAGCTTTTGTGGCACCAGCTAGATCGCTCCGCTACCAGCCATGGTGTTGTGCAAGATCAAGACCAATAGCAAGAAGAGGGATCGGCGCAACCTTCATCGGCAGAAGAAACACTTGAAAGCTGCTACATTGGGCCCGAAGAAGACTTTCCGGGTTTCTCCAAAGACCAGCTACCATCCAGTGTTGCAGGAGATGCTACTTGTTTTTGCGTGTTGGCACTTTTTGGTTTCCATCAATTCCAGTGGAGTAGGGATCGGACGCGCGCGCGGTCTTATCTACTCGACTTTATATAATATATATCACATATATTTCTATTTATATATATATTTGTGAGTTCCTTGAGCTTGCCACCCTGTTGATTTTAGGTTTCAACTGCTAGAACTTGGTGGACTTCCCTACGTCCTCCTATCGCTCTTCGACCTCGTTTTCGATTCTATGACACAGCCCACAGCAGTGGCTTGGAGCAAACATGTGAGTTGGAGCGCTTCATCTAAACCCGTCATGTTTCAATTGAATCTTCAATGTCCCTTGAGTTCCTTTTTGCTGCAGGCGCTCACCTCAATGGAAGCGTTTGCTGGCGTGAAGTCGATCACCAATGCCTTCAGGCAAGAGACCATCCAATGTCCTGCAAATCTCTTGCAACCTCATCCCAAATAGTGAAGAAGTAAAGTCACAACATCTGGCAGGTCATTGGGGCAGCCAGCCGCCAGCTACGAGGTGCTGGACCGGCCAGTGTATGAGGACATCATGGGCGGTGTTGGATATGCCTACTTGTTAGGCCTAGTTGCACGGCTCTGGAAATCTGCCTCTCGCCTGACAGTGAAACTTGAAGCACGCTAGCGCTAGCAGTTCCAGCCACATGGAAAACAATAGGTTGCAGAGTTTCATGAAACCAAAGTTGTATGGGAAACAATGCTTGGGATTGGTATCGACTGCGCATGAGCTGTGAGACATGAATTCTTGAGGTTGGGTGCGGGTGGTTTGCACCTGTCTGCTCGTCATGGGTCTGGATCAACCGGCTCAACCCTCAGTACCAAATCAAAGGGAAACAAAGTAGTGTGCAGAATAGTCTTTCAAAGCCCAACAGTATATAATAGTATATGTATGTATCATGATGTCAAACACAAAGGCGCAAATATTGCTATCAGCTTGAATGAGGAATACTTGTATGTAACATCTTGAAACAGTTTGGAGTTTGGAGTGCTGAGCATGTCTTGAACTCTAACGCATCTTTCAACATATATTGACCTCTCGACCTTCAGCCCCATCACTCACTCGCTCAGGGCTACATCAGGTCGATCGCGAGAAGCACCCTTGGGTGACCGCAGCAAAGAGTTCGTGAGAGTGGCGAAGCTTGGTATAAGATTTTCATGTCTGATGCAATCACTCGAATCCAGTTAGATGTCGCAAGTCATCAGTGGTGCCCTGTGCGCGTAAGTCTTTGAAACCATGCAGCCATCAGCATTTTTGATAGAGGCATCCTTCTAATCTAAACTGCTTTAGATCTTGAAGCCTGCCATGATCTACGTTCCAGTCGCTCATCGGGCTGAGTGGAGAACTTGCTCACCCAGGGATGGATGGCCAAACTACGTGGACGCTTTGAGCTGCCTTGGCATGGACATGGCTCGAGCGGTGCCCAGGAAAGTGAGAGAAGAAGCGATTCCACCTTTGACTGAACAACCCACGAGTAGCCTATTGATTGGAGACTTCAGTCCCAAGACCACAACGAAGGAACGCACTTTGAATCATGGCAACGGAAGAACATGAGTTTCAGTGTCAGTGTGTCTGTTTGTCTGTTCTTTCCTTGTCCCTATTCGGGTAAGCTGCCCAAAAACAATGAGGATCAAGAATTGGTGGGCCCTTCACAGCTTGCTGATGTTCGAGGAATTCCAATTTCGGAAGCCCAACATGGAGGAATGTCGCATCATCTTGGAGAGCTTCAACGAATACTTTAAGGCGCCCCGAAATTATACAAAGAAAGCCACAATAACTGGACCTTATACCCTTCGGCCTACACTTGTCTCCAAATTGTTTTTCTGTGTGTTGAGGGCCTGGCGTTCCGGCCTGCAGATCCAGACGCGCCTGGGCAATGTTTCATTCGCGGTGAATGCAAGCAGGCTGAAATTGGGAGTGAGATCTCTTGTAATGGACAACCCCTTGATGCAACAAAGGCTGAGACTACTGGGCATGATTTGGTCAAAACTGCCAAGAACCTGCAAAAGCTTTGGTCTGGACTGCGGAGGACAAAGTGTTCATGTTTGCTTCATCTTGAGAACCTCAATTGCTAGTCAGGCTCACGCATGTCATGACAGTCCATGGGTGTTGCAGGAAGTGGCAAAACTCTTCTCACTCGTCCAGATCTGTGTGGGTCCAGCTTTTGAAGGATCAGATGAGGACGAACGCGCCGCCGCAACAACCAGATCTCGACGCAGAGACTGACAAGTTGGGGGGATCATCTGACGAGTCTTCGAACACGACTGATGGCATTCCTGAAAATTTCATGGGTGAAGAACCCAGGCCTGCCTACAGTGGAAGTGAAGACTCCGATTGCAAAACCGACTTCACGGATGTGGACCAGGTGGAGTCTGACGCTGATGTGGAGAAACGGGTGGAGTCTGAGCATTCCGACAAGGTTTCTGAGCAAAAGTAATGAAATGTAAGTGGAAGAACATGTACATGTTGTGGAATTGTTACTATTTTTTGACAGCTTAGGCTAGCGATGTGGGGAGCGACATTTGGAAGTCCATGGGTGTGGAGGAGCCCTCTCCCTGTAAACATGATACAGACTCAGAACGTGAAGCTACCGCGGCCCTTGCGTTGACTGCTGAAGCTTTGGCCATCTACAACTCGGAGGAGCCCTAATATGTTTGGGGTTGGCGTGCTCTCACATATGCTCAACCAATAAGTGTGATTGAATATACCCAATTCCCGTGTCCCTTTCTCATTTTTCTGCACGGAAGGACCCTGAAGGGTTTGACATGGCGCTGGTGGCCCTGGACCCTCCTCCAGTCAAAGTCGATGAGAAACAGGACCGGGGATCGAAGTCTTCGAAGAAAAAGCGGAAGTCATCCAGTTCCAAGAGATCCAAAAGGTCCCGGTCCCGTAAAGCTTCCAAACCCAAGTCATCCAAGCCTCGAAGCCCTTCATGTCGCTCGACCGCAGCTGAGCCAGAGCCTGCAGCAGTCGATAAGGGTGAGATCATCAAGTCATTTGGAGAGGCGTACCAGCATTTGATCAGAGCGTTACCTGTGAGCTTGTGGCCACAGTCAGAACGTCATGGGAGCCACTCATACGCGGTGAATCTTTGTTGCAAGTATTTTTCCCAAGACTCCAAGACCCCGTGCAAATCTGGCTGAACAGAAGCAACAGTTCAATGTGGCAGCTCTTGTGTGAACAAGGGCGTATGTTGCACCACCCGCCCAAGGAAGCTTCATGACAAAGCTCGCCTCGAGGTCCTTCTCCGTCAGCAGGCTTTCAAGCCTCGTACCGATGCATCAGGGAGCAGACTCACTGGTGAGAAGGGGAAGTCGATACTTGATGGGTGTTTGGTTCAGCGCATTGATCAATCAAGAAGGTGTACCTATAGTTTTGCAAATAGATAGTAGATACGTCTTTGATGGATGTTATGGTTTAAGTTCATTGATCAAACAAGAATGTCAAGAGAATGCGCCTTTCTTTGTTGGCAAACTCGGCTAAGAAACTATACGATTGCTTTTCCGCCCTAGGATTTCGTTTGTGAGTGACATCAAGAAGGCCTGGGAGAAGGCTGCTGAAGCACTGGATTTACCAGCTGATGATGAGTAGGGGTGAACTTAACTGTGCCTGGCGCTCTCCACGTTCTTGTTCTAGCAACCACAATGAACCATACAAAAAGAAGGAGTCAAGATTCTGCAAAGTGTTGTGGGTGGCGGGCGCGCCTGTTCCTTGGTGACCTGTCTGAGATGTGTAGCCTATAAGTCAGAGCAAACGCAGACTGGTTGTGCTTCAAGTGGGGAGACAGGACTCACCGGTGGAACTTTTGGATTTATCGTAGGGGTAGCGACTCAACTCTTTGACCTTTAGGATCCTTTAGGTGTGTGGGTCATGGGTTGATTGGACTCAACAGCAGTTTCAATCCTTCGATGGTAGGCGGTGATGGCCGCTTCCAGGATTTGGAAAATCAGCACGCGTTGTTCAAGTCTGTTGTAGAAGCAGAGGGGCCATTCCAGTTAAAACTTCTCATCTGAGGAATGGAATGATCTATCGAGTTACAGCTGCTCTCATCATGATGTCCACCCTCAACATCCCATGGTTTGTTGAGCAGCCGGGAAGCTCTTTGATGGAGCATCACCCTGCGTTTCAACACTTGTGCAAAAGATTCACTGTCTACAAGGTGACTCAGCTGGTTTGTATGCGCAACCTTGTTCTGCCTATATAGATGGGCCAAAAACATATAATATTGCATCCACTGTCTCAGGTGTTCATTTGGCTGGGAGCATACGGAGGAGATTGAACCCTGGCGGCATCCGGGGGCCCTGCCCACACGTGGAGTTGCGTATATAGCGCCCACGTCCAACCTTGGAGGGAGAGTTGATGTGGTTTTGAACACATGCCAGGAATACTTAGCTATCATCTTTTTGTTCCAGCCTTTCAGGATGAGGTGTCCGTAAAATGCCGTTTGTGAATAGTTTTGGGAAGCTTTCCGGACACCTTCAACGCATACCGCAATGATGTAAACTACAAAAGATCAATCCTGACCCTTGCTCTCTTTCACACCTCTTTTACAAACATGTTTGGTGGGAGGGGATATGTGTTTTTCAAGCTTACAAGCTTGCGTGGGACCTTTTTGGTGAAAGTTGACTTCAGGTCTCAAAGAAGGTTCCAAGCGTCCAGCCCAGGCCCCAAGCCTACGTTGATCTATTCGAACTTCAAGTTTATCGAGAAGCTGTTCTTACCGCTTCCGGCAGACAAGGTTTGGGAGGCGGAGACATCCATCAAGCAACCTGGTTCACGAGTGGCGTCAGCGTCTTCCAGTTTCCAGTGTTTTCTACTCATTATCCATAACAAGGACTTGGCACTACTGTATTTGTTTTTGTGGTCGACCAAGAAGAGTTTGTGGTCAACCATTGGAGGGAAGTCATCCCCCAACCGGCCCAGGTATGTGGACTCCAGTGGCCAACATAGAGTCTCTGGAGGTCGAGATCTGAAATCAACCCAGGCATATCCCCGTTTGTTTGGGCATGCTGTGGCACAGCTGTTTCTTAGCGAGCGGGATGCTGTGCGTCAAGCTATCGCAGAGAGGAAGACACTTGGACTTGTAGCCGACTGTGTTTCAAGTGAATGGTCAAAAGAAGAATGGGCCAACCTAGACCAAAAAGACTGACGCTTGAAATCATCCTGGACCTTTTCTTTCTAGAAGTAGATTGAATCCGCACTTTGTTTGTGTGCCCAGGAAGGAGCTGGCCAATTCCAAAAGAAGCATCAAGCCTTTGAAGGACTGTAGCCTGCGTTGTGAGCGGAGCTTCAACAAGATTGGTGTTCTCATGGGTGTTTCTATATTGTATCCATGACCATGTCAGCAACCTCTAGCACCCTCGAGATATGCCCCACATCCCATGCAGCTCGGCTCCACGCATGCAGGACATCGGCTGGGCCAATGGCGCAGACCTGCAACAGGTCATCAAAGCGCTTCGTGGGTGAGAGGCTAGCTGGATATGGTCTTAATTAAATCGATCTAGACCAATTCAAGGGCCTATACCCATGCGCACATATGTCTAAAGAGCACCAAACCCTTAAACAAAGAACAATTCAGTATACTATAGGATCACAAGAATAATCCATATGGTCAGATCAAGAATCCAAGAATAATTCCTGGGTCAGACCAAGAATCCAATAATAATTCACGGGCCAGACCAAGAATCTCATAGTAGTATGTGGAATTCCTGTATATGACATCTAAAACCCCAATTACATAGTATATATACTATATCTTTTCAGCGAGTCTTAACATTTTTCAACTTTTTTCCAAAAAATAACTCAACTTGAACAATCCGGGAATCCGGGAAAAAGCCGGGAAATGGCCGTGAAAACCCGAGAAAATTCTTGGGTTTTGAGAGTTCAATTTTTTGATATGAACTTAAGCGGTTTTTGTGGTCTTACCCAGGAAATTCATGGGCGCATGTGCGCGTGGAGGTGCTCTCGCAGTGGGGCAACCTGTTTGAGAAGGAAAAGAGACGGTAAAGCTGAATTGTTTCAATGAACAGCTGCTTTCGCCATGCTCCCAGCGTGTTCTGTCCAATTGAAGTTAAGTGCATATATGTTTTTTGAGGGTTCAAGCAAGCCTTGTGTTCGCTATATACGTTCCTCAGGGTTCAAGCAAGCTTTGTGTTGGATTAGGTTGCAGGTCCACCATGCCGCCAGCCCCTGTAGTCTCTCATCGACACCGAAGCAAGTCAGCTCCCAGAGGTGTGAGCCCAGATTCCAAAGCCCTAAGGAAGGCAGCTGAGACCAAATCCAACGCTACCAAGAAAGTCTTGAAGGATGTTGATGTCTACAAGACACCACCCCCACGGACATCAAAAAGGTCTGGTTCAAGTGCATCCAAAGAATCCAAGGATTCTACCTACCCGGAAGCGGATCAGCTTTGGAGACGTTAAAATTCAGGACATTGAAGCAGAGAACCCTCGACCTAAGAGCAAGGTAAAGGCTATGAATGCAAAAGAAGCTGATGAGATCTTTGAATCTTTGAAGGACATGGGGGGTTCCGGTGTTTGTAGCGTTATCCTGGTCATGTTCTCCCTTTTCACACTAATCATTGGAGCCTACCACATGTCACTATCCCCCTAGCTGCTCCAAGACAACCTGTGTTTGGCTGGGCAGGACGAGAAGGCCAACGATGATCAAGGTTCTGGAAACGAAGATGATGAGGGTTCATCGAGCGATGATGGTTCCGACGAAGAGAAGCAGAGTGAGGCTCGGAGAAAGTGGTGGGCAAGGTTTGAAAGACCAGGTATCTTCATCAAAGCCCCAGGGATTCCAAAGTCAGTTCTATCCAAACACAAAAGATGTAGACTCAGCAAAGCGTCAATTCGATCTATGCAGCAGTGGTGGAACACGTTTTGGGCAAACGTGCAGGATGAAGAGAAAGATGAAGAGAAAGATGAAGAGAAAGATGAAGAGAAAGATGAAGAAAAAGATGAAGGTTCTTCTGATCAAGAGTCAGAGGCGGCGGACTCTGACAAGGAGGAATCCAAAGCATCTTCGTCAGAGAATGAGTCTGAGGACGAGGAGGCATCCAGCGAGCCCCAAGAAGAGGAGGAAGAAGCGGAGGGATCTGAAGAGGGATCAGAAGAGGAAGAAGAAGAAGATGATGAGGAGGAGGAGGCTAAGAAGGAAGATGATGGTAAGAAGAAGCGGGGTTCTGACGACAAGGACGCCAAGAAGGGTTCTAAGAAGAAGGATGAAGAGAAGAACAAAGGTGAAGAGAAGAAGAAAGGTGAAGAGAAGAAGAAAGGTGAAGAGAAGAAGAAGGATGAAGAGAAGAAGAAAGGTGAAGCGAAGAAGAACGGTGAAGAGAAGAAGAAAGGTGAAGAGAATAAGAAAGGTGAAGCGAAGAAGAAAGGTGAAGAGAAGAAGAAAGGTGAAGAGAAGAAGAAAG